GAGGCAGGAGATGCAAGAGTTTAGGGCCCCGAGACACCAGGGCATCTTTTCCACAGGGGGAAGTCAGAAGGCAAGGCCTACCAAAAATAGAAGTGGGGCGGCCTGCCAGGGTTCATAGAAATGAAAAGGGCTCTCACTATCTCAGACTATGACTGCCAACCCCCTGGGTAACCCAGATGAAAGGGGCAGATGCCTAGAAACACACTGCCTGTCAAACTCAAACACATGGTGTCTGGATGCGAGGGTGTCCCTGGAGGGCTCCATCAAACCCTGAAGGAAGAATTACTGCCCGTCCTTCTCGTGCCCCTCTAAGGAACTGAAGAGGAGCAAGCACTCCTAAACTCTGTGAGGTCGGATGGCCGATGCCAAAGACAGCAGAAGAAAAGGGAACCGCAGACCACATAGTGGGCTCAAATAGGACTCAGCAGTGCAGCGTAGGGACACATATCGCACAGCAGCAGTTTGTCCCACAGGCCAAGGAGCCCACATGTGAGTCCTCTAGGAAAACGGTCATTTGCTCAAAAAAAAAACCAAAAACACCACAAGGATACTGTCTAAACCTGACAAATGGAGACATAGCAGGGTACGGTATATTGGGAAGCAAGGAGCCAAGGTCAGAAGAGCCAAATTCAGGGTGGACCGTGGCCATGTAGGAAGGGTGGCCGTGTGAGCTGCTGCTTTCTGCTTCCCGCCTACCATGGTGGCAGCCAGCTTCTCCACCCTGTCTGGGCACCCGTGGACAGGAAGAGGAACACTTTTGTGTCCAGTCTGCAAGAGGCCACATTCCATCAGAATGGTCTGGGGTCCCAGGACACGGGATGACATGGGGGTCTGCCTTCTCTCCCTGGAGGGCCATCTTTACCAGTCCTCAGTTTTGTTTGCTTACTTAGTTTGGCTTTTTTAGAAGGAGTCTGGTCAAGTAGCCCAGGCTGCCCTTGAATTCATTATGTAGCTCAGGCTGGCCTGTGATCCTCCTGCCTTAGCCTCTTCAGTGCTAGAGTTATACGTGTGGCCACCATTCCCCGTGTTATGCTTTTGAACAGCTCCTTAGTATAAATTTCCTCTTATACTAAGCCCTGATGGTAAAAGGAGAAACAGGTGGTAAGATGCTGGCTTTCGCAGCCATGGAAAACCTTTCTGTTTACAGCACCTGACGGCTGAAAGCCCTGCACTGCATATAGCCCAAGGGCCAGAAAAAAGCCAAGCACCGATCCCCAAGCCACATCGCTTCCGGTGCAGGGACATATGCACCTTACAACATAGGGTTGCATGTAGACCACAGGACCCAGCAAGCACCTCAGTTTCTCCCAGCTCAAAATGTCTCACTCGATGGGAAAGGGCCACGTCTTCATTTAGCCAACAATGAAGAAACATCATGTGTATGCTTACATGTGTGCACACGGCTGCTTTAAGTTCCCAGCTACAGAGGGAAATCGTAAATGCTTAAAAGATACTGAAGCCCCTTTAGAAAAATTTGTCACTTTCATATACAAAAAGCAAAGTTAAGGCCCCTGTTCCACAGGATCCAAGCTCTCAGGGTCTCAGTTACCATCCTTATCTGACAGAAATTCCTTTTGTAAAAAACTACCCATAAATCTGTTTAATCAGCTTTCCTAGTCCTCTCCCAGGTGGTGACACCCAGGTCAGATTCTCTCCAGCGACACTGAGGGTTCTGGTTTCTTCACATCCTCCTAATACTGATTATCTGCTGTCTAAAGTCTAACCAACCTAGTGGATAGGAGACAGTACCCCATTGTGACCTGGAGTGAAAATTCATAAAACAGACAAAAGAAAAACAACAGGAAAAAAACCTACAAACTGCCAGGCGTGGTGGCACATGCCTGTAATCCCAGCACTCAGAAGGCTGAGGCAGGAGCAGCACTGAGAGCTCAGGCCAGCCTGCACTATACAGCGAGACCCTGCCTCAAAAAAGAAAAAGAAAAAGAAAAAGAAAAAGAAAAAGAAAAAGAAAAAGAAAAAAAGCTATAAACCAAAATCTTTGGTTCTTTGAGAAGACCAACAAATTGAAAATGAATGTAGCTAGATTGATGGTGGGGGAGGGGGCTGGCTGTATTTCAAATGAAAGAAATTACTACTAACCTTCAGAAATGAAAAAGAGTAGGACAAGAATTTAAATTCAAGCAATCTGGCCCCAGTACATTATAGAGCCTCTGAATAACAGCATAATAAACTTGAGCACATGACAGGTCATAGAGGCGTTACTCTCTACCATCCATCTCCCACAGTTCAGCATGGCCATGTCCATACAGAACATGGCCACCTGGGGACTCCAGAGAAAATCATGAACATGACCATCAGTGTTGCTGTGTGCCACTCAGGGAGCAAAGGCAAGACATCATGGGGCTGCTGCACACCTGCAATCCCAGCCCCTCGAGCGGCTGAGGCAGACGTCTTGAGCACAGGGGTTCAAGGCTAGTGGGACAACACAACAAAACCTCATGTCAAAACAAAACAAAACAAAATGCATAATTAAACAACAACCCTCTCAAACAAAGTGGATGTTCTTTTTAAAAGCATGACACTTATTAAAGCTCTTTACACATGATTGCATTTTCTTCCTAAACCAACCCTATGAGACAGACTGACATCACCATCATCACCATCATCACCACCACCACCACCACCACCATCACCACCATCAGCATCATCATCATACCAAGGATGGAGCCCAGAGCCTCCCACATGCCGAGTGGTCTACTGACCACCGAGCCATGTCCTCAGACCCAGGGGTGTGAGTATTCCTGCTCCTGCGCACACGCTGCTCACTGAAGGATGCTAGGGTCTGGGTCTGGATCTGGCCCCAGCCTGCCGACGTCACCACTCACCCCTCTCATGTGTCCATCGTGCACTTCACCCTGTTGGCAGGAAGCTCCTGGAGAGCAGAGGCCTCCTGTGACCCCAGTGTACCTGCCCTGGTCCAGGGAGCAGAAGCACAGGTTTCTTTGTGGTTTGCTGACCGAATATAAAAGGATTCCAACTGATTGCTAATAACCGTCTAGTCTGGATGGTTTTAACACTCCACTACTGCTGAGCACCAAGGGGGTAGACTATAGGCTCTTATTCACTGTCCTAGTTACTGTTCTCATTGTTGAGACAAAATATCCAACATTCAAAGTTAAATGAAGCAAAGTTTATTTAGCTCACAGTTTGCAGAGGTTTCAGTCCATAGGTGCCTGGCTCCACGGCAGGGTGGCATGACGGTTATCATAGAGAAACAGTCCATGGCAGGGCAAGCAGGAGGCAGCAAGTAGCAACAAGCAACAACCAAGATTCTTTCTGTCCCTTTATATTGTATCCAGGGTGAGGCATCCTTAATCCTACCCAGAACTATGCCAAACCAATCAATAAACTAATTTAGTTTTCACATACCTTTAATCCAAGCATCGTACACTCTAGATCCTACCACCTCTGACAAATCCCTACCTATGCCTGCTTTAGGAGTACATCTAGACACAAGCCATAACATTCACTTAGCTAATTTAATACATACAGCTATCCCAGGAGGTTTAAAGTTACAGTATTAAGCTTAAAGTTTCAAAGAACACACATTTATCCCTGAAAATAACTGCAAGGAAATCTAGGAGATACTTGAAACAGGGAGATTACTTTTGTACATAAAGTTAAGATAGTCTTTATTATTCTGAGCTTCCCCAAATATATACTTTTGTGTGCTATGGGAAACCACACTTGCACTAAATTATATAAGAAATTCTCCTGTCTGAAGAAAACTTATAATGTATTTAGCAACAGGTGAATACAAGCATTTTAAAAAGCATTTTAACCTGAATACTTTTACTGTTTTGATAGCTGTTTAAGAAATGTAATATTAAAAATTCATGAAATCTATCTCCTCTCATCTTTGGTTAGTATGAGTAACATTTACTATTGTTTTAATGCTAAAAGTGGATCTAAAACCTGAAAAATCAGGTCACTGTTGTTATTGGCTTCATCTGGCAAGTGTGTACCCAGTGTTTGTTCAAAAGTCCTTTCTTTGAACATCTGTTCCTTGGTAAATTGGTGTTTGCCTTGGAAACATGACTCAGAAGTGCCAGTCTAGGTCCTGCTACTGAGTGCCAGCGGCAGTGTGGGCCGAGGTTGACTGAAAGCACTTTGCAAAGGTGAAGACCTGGGTCAAAACCTCAGTTCTGCCAGTGTGCTCTGGCCTTGGCCTTCTCACCCAGGAAATAGGAACAGTCCCAGTGCCAGCTTCCACAGGGTAACGTGAGGGTGACAGACTTGCCTCGGGTCTGACTAGAAAGACTCGCGTGTGCACGCATCGTGGGACCAAAGGATTGGAGGACCGGCCCCTGAGCCCTCCTTCCAACTTCACTGTCCACAAGGCTAGTTCAGCCTCCGCCCCCTTCACAAGTTTCTGCCTTGGGCTGCTACCACCTGGGCCCGAAGACAAAGGCTTGTCCCTCAAGGCTGGCTCCAAGGTCACCTACCTGGCTCGGGGTCCTACTTCCCCACAAGCATATCTGTTCTTTACCCCTGGTGTCTCAGCACCAGGAAGGCGGCAGATGGCCAAGGACAGCTGACTACATAGTGCTCGCAATGCCCTGACTATGCAAGAAACCCAGATGGAGGTGAATTAAAAATGGACCCACAGTAAGAACCAGGTCCTGCAGCCTGTGCGATGATGTAACATTCCAAGTCACCCTATTGTATGCAGCCACCCTGCTCTCATCAATAAACACGCCTCCCATTTTGGTGCTGACTCTTCTGTAGCCTCCTGCTCCGGTACTGGGCCCCACGCAGGCCTCCAGCCTCCAGCCTCCTGGAGCAGATGAAACGCCAGAGCTAGCACACTGCTGTCTCCTTCCACCAGCACGGTGCCAGCTCGCCACTCACCCACTCCATGCTGAATCAGCCCCTCCACATGGGTGGCCACAGAGACGCAAGACCATCAGAGGACCTGGCCAGAAGGAGGCGGTGACATCCATCAGGTGGGAAGAGGCCAGGTGGAAAATATCACTCACCAGAACCCGCCCCATGGACTGCCGCGGATGATGAAGCCTGTGTGGGCCAAGCTATCTGGACAAGCTGCGCTGGCTTCTTCCATGACCAGCGCCAGAATGAATCTGTAGGAACATCGCAATTTGGAAGCAAAAACTCCCTGGATCGGGCAGTTTCGTTTTCTGGTCTCAGAGAGGTGGGACGACACACAGCTCTCTGGAAAGCTCCCTGCCACTGTACACTGTCGGAGGCGGCCACCTGAGCAGGTGTGAAGGTGACTGTGCGGCAGGCACTAGATTGCTATCAGCGACACACTCCTGTTACCTGCGGCAATGTGAGAAGCACGGCCCTGCCCGCATTCACACACCTTACCCTCACGGTGAAGGTAAACACGGTCACCATGCAGAAAGACATCTCATGCGAATGTGCTGACAAGTGCATCACCCCCAGCCAGGCATGGTGGCACATGACTGTCATTGAAGCACTCTGGGAGGCTGAGGTAGGAAGATCACAATTTGGGGCCCAGGATGTGAGGGTGACCTGGCTGCGACTGTCACCCCAGCGATCGCCAGAGTTGATTCAGCTGATCCAGCTGGCTAGTCAGTGTCCCCTTCCTCCCTCAACGTCCCATGTGCGACACTCCCGAAGCTGTGCACTTTGTTGACGAGGACGACCACCCCTGATAAGAGCGGGCTTCCTCAGTCAGGAGTACATGAGTAGCTGCATTTCTGGCTAGAACCTCCAAACATGCTCTCACAAATTTCAGCTCTGCCTGAGCAACTCAGCAAGCCCCAATCTCAGAAATAAAATTTAAAAAAGCGCTGAGGATGTAGCTCAGTATGAAGTCCCTGGGTTGGCGCCCCAGTACTGAAAACAAAATAACATTAATTTATATTTTAAATCCTCAACAATTTGAAAACCAGAGAATTCAGCTTTCTACAAGAAAAAACAAACGATGCATTTTTAAGGCTGAGGAAGATCCCATAAAGATGGGGGTCAGAACCACCCAAGTTCAGGCACTGCCAGTGTCCTGCCCCAAGGCAGCTCCGGAGCAGCCCTGAGCTCGTCTGGTAAGCTGCCGCCAGCTGCAGGACCAGCGCATCCACGGGGGACCAAGGTGGGGCAACTCAGGTACAGCACACCTCCAGGATCTGACAGAGCCAGCGAGCAGCCCCAGGCACGTGCAGCACACTTGGTGTACACACAGGCAGCTGCTGCAGGCCAGTGACGTCCTGCACGAAAGTGTGCACTACAGTTCCAGCTGAAGCTGACGCCTCATTTCTCGGGAGTGCCGAAGCTCTGGTAGCTTCCCGTGGCAACCCCCCACAACTGGGGAGCCACTGTGGCTGTCATCTCCTCAGATTACTGTGCCATCAAAGTGAGCAGAGAGGAATCGGGGGTGCAGGACCAACCAACCCACAATAATGGGGACCTGCCTTCAAGGAGCCTGGACCTAGAAGAGGCCGAGCCAATCACTCCAGAGGTGCACAGCACAACTCACTGTCATGTAACTCCATCAGGCCCGACCCATGGAGCTGGTTCTGGGGATTCTCTTCACTCTAGGGTTTTCCTTCTGTTTCTGTTTTGGTGCTGTGTGTTTTGGTGTTTTAAACGCAGAGCCTTCCACACACTAAGAACACATCCTACCACTGAGACACTCCACCAGTCTATTTATTTCTTCAATACATAGTCACAACATTTACTGACTGATTGATCGTCTTCTTGAGACAGAGTCTCACTATGCAGTTCAGGCTGGCCTTGAGCTCACTTTGTAGCCGAGGCTGGTCTCGAAGTTGCAACGATCCTCCTGCCTCAGCCTCCAGAGTGTTGCAATTACAGGCATGTGCCACCATGCCTGCCTCTGATTTTTGTTTTAAATCAAAAACAAAACACAGAAAAACACCTTGGCCTCTTCCTCTTACTATAGTTTGGTTTCTCCTAATAGAAAAAGAAAGAAAAAGTAGCACTTCAAATGGACCAGAAAAGCCAACACAGTTAACTGTGTATGAAAAGTTTTGTTCTCATCTTCCTTGAAACCAAAAACGAAAATACAGCTCTCTAAGAGATCAGGTGGATATCAATAGGTATTATACCCCAAGAGCTAAAATCCAAACATGGACCCAGGCTAACTGCACGTTTCAGATGGTACCGGTGCTTCTGCTACTGAAGTCTGATGTAATATGTCAATTTTAATATTACAGAAATTATATCACGGTTATACTGAGTAACATAGGAATAACTGCACCTGGAAAGGCATCTTTCTTTCCACTGGGTTTCCCTTCAAGGAGTAGCTTGATTCTTCAAATTCTGAGTTGAAGTAGATTTTACAGATGAATGCTTCCCCGCCTGGTGGGGCAGGAGCTTAGGTAGCTCACTGTAATGATTGGCTTTAAACCTGCTGAGCCCTCCCCTCAGACGGGGCCTTGGGCCTGCCCCCATCCTAAGGGCCAGTGACTTAGACATCAGGTCACAGGGAGCAGTGCTAGTCTGCACAGAGCAGGAGCACTGTTCTGGACACGATGCTGCCGATTTTATGTTATGAATCTCCCATTCTCTGGCTCATTTGTCTACTTTCTTTCAAGGTGCCTTTTGATGAAAAAAAAAGATGATAATGAAGCTGAATTTATGGATGTTTTCTTTTAGGGAAATTCTGTTCTATCCTATAAATATATTTTCTTCTAACTGTTCAGAGTCCTGCCCCCCATGGAAGCCCTCGCCCTGCTGCACTTAGCCTGCCGTCCCTTCTTCCACTTGATGAGGAAGGCTCTAGCTGTCCTCTGCCATGTGCCACCACCTCTTTTCCTCACTGACCCACAGCGTCATCCGTGCAGCAGTCAGGTCGCCCCATCTGTGTGGACACAGTTTTTGACGCTGTCCCACTCCTGTCCTTTGTACCTTGTGTTTGTCATCGCTATTTTTTTTGTTTGCATTTTGGAAAAGGTCTCACTATGTAATCCAGGTTGGCCCTGAACTCACAGTGATCTTCCTGCCTCGGGCTCCCAAGTGCTGGGATGACAGGTGTGCGCCACCATGCCCAGCTTGTGACCATGTGTGTCATTAGAGAGCTCTATGCTAAGTCCTGGCACCTCTTCCTGGACCATTTCCAATGCCTTTCCTTACATACCGAGACTGAATGACCCTTTTCGGTGCATGCTGGGGCTACCACAATTCTCGAAGTCAATGCTGATGAGCGCCAGGTGTTGTCATTAACAGCTCTGGAAACTGCTGAAAAATGAGCAAGGGAAAATGGGCACCTTCTGGAAACGCAGGCAGGGAAGGCGAGAGTGAGAGCAGCTCAGAGAACCTCCGTATTGCAAGCTCATGTGTGGCACAGGTTCAGGTCCAGTCACAGCAGACTATGAGGTGGCTTCAGAAACCACCTTCCCCTGGATGACTCTGGAAACCATCACAAGCCGTACCCTAACCTCAATGGAATACAAAGAGACAGAGGCTGCTTCTTCCAGTACATAACACAGGAAGTGAGACAGCCCCTCCAGAGGGCAGGTGGGTTTAACCCAGAACAAGAGTGCCTGGGGGCTGAGCCTGTCCTCCGCTGTGTGGTGCTACAGACAAGGACCTGACACAAGGCCAGAGGGCTAGGAAGAGCTGCTCCCTAAGAACAGGGAGCTGTAGGTGCAGTAGGCTGTGTCCACACACAATGTGGAAAACTATATTCACCAGCACAATATCATTTTGATGTTACAAACTACAGAAATAAAGTGCTTGGTTTTGTTTTGACTATGTAGTCCAGGCTGGCCTTGATGTAGCTCAGGTTGGGCTTAAATTCCAGGTCCTCCTGAGTGCTAGGATTACAGGATGCACCATCTAATCCAGCTTCAGAAATAGAGATTTAAAAGACAACCTTTGGGGCTGGGAATATAGCTCAGTGGCACAAGTGCCTGCCTGGCAAGTGCAAAGTCCTGAGTTCGATTTCCAGTACCAAAAAAAAAAGGCAACCTTTGCCAGGAGTAGTGGTGCATGCCTATAATCTCAGTACTGTACTCAGAATGCTGAGGGAGGAGGATTGCCTCAAGCTCAAGGCCAGCCTGGGCTACATAGTGAGACACTGTCCTCCCCCACAAAAAAACAAGTACGCTGTGGTCTGAGGCTGAGGCCCTGAACTGACCTCCCTGGTAACAAAGTGACTGGGAGGGCTATGCTGGTGACATGGGCAACGAATGACAGCAACTGCTGGTTAACCTGATGGCGCTGCTTTTACTTTCTTAAAAATCTCTGAAAGCAGCAGCTTAGTCAGTGAAGTGCATGTGATTAAGAACAGCGCCTCTAGGGGCTGGGGATTTAGCTCAGCGGCAAAGCGCCTGCCTGGCAAGCGCAAGGTCTTGAGTTCGGTTCCTGGTACCGGAGAAAAACCAAAAAAAAAAAAAAAAAAAAAAAAGAACAGCGCCTCACTACACCCTATGGCCAGATGAGATTTAACTGTGTGTGTGTGCGTACACACACGCACACACGTTATATGGCTGCCAATTTATTAAACAGCATAGCCGTGCCCAACAAAAGCCCTGAATTAGGTCTCATAGACTTAAAAATAAGTTACTGAATAGAGAACATCTCGGTGTGTGGAAGGCATTCAGGATAAGGGGTTTATGCTGTCATGGTGAGAAGTTCTCGTATATTCAAGGGAAGATAAACACTAGAGAACCCAGACACCTGGGAGAGAAAGAAATTTGAGAAATACACAGCCCAGCCTCAATTCTCAGCTCAAAACTTGACATCAGGACGTGGAATCAACCGTAGGTCCACTGCAAATGTCCATCCGCAGGAACGAGGCCCTGGGATAGATGCTCCAAGGTCAAGGTCAGGTGACATGGGGCTCAGACGCAGGTTCCAAAGCCCCTGGGTCTTGAGCCAGAACCTTGGTTCTCCCACATACAGAGCCACGGGGTGGCAGTGGCAGGGCTGCACACAGGTGTCCAGGTCCACGCTCCCAGGACACACTCCCTGCCGGCCACTACAGGACCCTGTGGGTGACTTCCCACCCTCCTCAACCCGCATGTGATGGTGAGGTGGATTCTTCTCTTCTGCTAGTGCGCGTTGGGTGGATGGGTGAGACAGCTGGTGAGGTTCCTGGCCCTGTGATGTGCTTGCTATTAAACTCAGCACAGCTGCCAGTAGGGCACACACGTTGAATCCATGCAGACAGAGAAAGAGATGCATGAGTCATCAGCTGTTCAAGGCCACTCAGCTAGAAAGGATAGGGCTGGCATTCCACCCCAAACCTCTCAACTCACAGACAGAAACTTCTGACCCAGGTGCACCATGGTAAGGTGAGAGTTTATTAAGAAATCAGGCACTTCTTTTAAAACTTTATGTACACAGTAACCATACTGAGCTACAGTATGCAAATACCAAAGTGCACAAACTAGAGTGTGATGCGTGTTCACCAGAAGACTCTGTAATGGCTCCCGAATAGGAAGGAGTGGGTGGAAGCGCTGATCGCTCCCTCTCTCCGCGTCTCTCATATGGGTGGGTGTGGCTTTCCCGCAGCTATCAGTAACACCACTTTCTGCGTGTTACTCTATGAAGGCCAGGAATCACCGCCTGTTCTCGTTACCGGGTACTGCACCACTTGTCTGCACCCTGGTGCACCCCTTGACAGCCGAGGGACATTGTGTTTAATGCCAGCTCGCTCAGTGCATTGTGAGCACACCTGACCACCCTGAGGTGCGCTGCTACCTCTCCTGGGTTTGGAGAGCTCCTTTCCGCTTTCAGCTGTTTGGTGCTGGGGACTGAACCCCAGGCTTTGCACATATAAAGCACACGCTCTACCGTCTTGTGCTTCTTCAGAAAATAAACATGCAGCACAAATTTACATTTTATTTCTTAAAAATCTTGGGCTAAAGAAGTCAACAAACATATTCTGATCATCACCCTTCTCTGCTGAGGACCGACATACACTTTTGGACATGTGCTTTTAGTTTTGGCAAAACGAGGAAACATTTTCAATAAGCCCAAGGAATTCATTAGCCCAAGAAAAAGATGTGCTACCACTGAGGCAGTGGGGGGAAACAAGGGAGGGGCAAATAGCAGTTCTGAAACATCCTACGGATAATGCACGCTCAGAGCACCGCCCCATACCTGCAGGCTGCATCACTCCGCAGGGCCACCTGGGCTCAGGGGCACAGCCGTCTATCTGCCCGCCTGGTAGGAGCACAGCGGGCACTGAGGCGGGTGGGGGGCACGCATGAGCAGCCGGGCAGGAAACCTTTCATTTCCTAATGGTTTTTATTACTACGAGAGCAATGAAGGCAAGGAGCGGGCTCCTCCAGTTTGTGCTCGGCCACCTCCTCTCCAGGACCTGCCTCCACCTGGAATCTCGAAACGAACTCCTCTCTGTCCACACGACACCTCAGGAGTAGGAGGCAGGGTTTTGGATCAAAGGACTTTAGGTCTCCTCTTACCTGGGAAAGGAACTTATTGCCCCTAAAAGCCACGCTTTGCCCCTGGGGAGGACCCGCATCAGCAGAGACCACTGGAGTCTGGGACATATCAGAAGGGACAGTTAAGGTTGGAACCAATCTGTCCCTTCCTGTCCCTAACAGCTCGCCCCCCACCCCATGCCATCTCCCAGGATCTGAAGCTGCTTTTGCTGTCCCTGTAAAGAATGCCCACGCCACGCCCCCCTCCTTGTGTCACTGAGCTGCGCTCCCGGAGCCACTACTCTTGGGCAGCCCTGCGGCTTAAGACTCCAACACTCAGTGCACCTGCAGAGAGGACAGGCTGCCTGGGGTGACTGTAGATGACAGGTGACAGGGCAAGGGGAGGAAACAGTAAAGGGTCTCAGCCTCGAGGGAAGCTGGATCACCAATGAATAGAAAAAATGTGTGTCTCACACTCAGATGACGGCCCTCTAAGTGCCCACTGGGTCAAAGGTGATGACCACGCATGAGGGAAAGTGGGTAATTTAAACAAAAGCCAGGAGCACTATAGGCTGACAGGGGAATTATACATGACAGGTGCAGCTAGGCGACATTGGGCCTCGTCACTGATGTCCTGTGTGGTGCCATTTGGTAAGGTGACATGTGTGCTCCCTCTAGGGGCGCTCTGCACCCAAAGAAGCCCATGCACGTGCTCAAACACATGTCCCAAGGAGGCCTGATGTGCAGAGACATTCAGGCAGCAGCACTACACATACTCACTGCCCTGGTCTTTCGAGTGGGTCCTACCCCAGCCCCAGTCACAGCAGGAATCTCCCCTCCCCAGGTCACACGGAGTGACTCAAGTTTCCGTGTCTTCTGCATGCCGCACTCGACCCCTTGAAGACAAGCATGAAAATCTGCCCAGCAAGAGCCTGTAGTCTAGAGTTACTGGGGAGGCTGAGGCAGGAGAATCCTCAGAGCCCAGGAGTTCAAGACCAGTCTGGGTGACATAGAAAGACCTTGTCTCAAGGGTCCTCTCTTGGAGCTGGGGATTTAGCTCAGTGGCACAGCACCTGCCTGGCAAACGCAAGGTTGTGAGTTCGATTCCTGGTACCGGAAAAAGAAAATCAAGGGTCCTCTCTTTACACAGGCATATTCACAACAACAAAATCTCAAGGTCACAAAACACAATGATTGAAAGCAATAAACATGCAATTTAATGGTATAAGTCAATATACAGTTTTTTCATTAAACTACCAGTTTTTTGGTTCCCCTAATTAGTTCAAGGAATCAAGTGTTGAACAAATGACACCAGTGAACAGGAGAGAAAAAAAACACTCAAAATAGAATAAAGACTTAAATAAAACTCTGACTGTTGCTGTCTTTTAAAATACCACAAACCATTTTATTTAAACATCTGTATAATGTAAAATAAGACAATACAAATCCTGTATTTACCAGATTTTCCAGTGGAAGCTTGACATACATATATACTTTGCAAAATTTGTTTTTAATTCTAGTAAAGCAATTAAAAGGTGATTTTCAATAATCCCACTGCATGAATCAATTATTTTTGGCAAGATAAGAATTTGCTATTAATGGCTACAGAGACTTTCAGCTCTGGCTCTCTGCTACCCCACAACAGCTTCTTCCTGTTCTCTGATTCCCTGTGACAGGAGGAATGAAGATGAGAATTTTTTATTTCTAGAAAATCATGTTAGCCTTGTGCTTTGTTTCTCCAGATACACTAAAACACGTGATGATATTTGGGCTATTTATTTTTGCACATGCCAACCTATTAACTTTTGTGGAGTTAAATCTGTAATTCAGTTAATAAATTACCTTTTCTTGCCTTAAAAAAATAAATCAGCATATAAGTAGGAAAAAAAAGGATGCAAATGGATGCCCTGCCGGACCTGAACTTGTACCGTAGAAAGACCCAGAGAACGGGCATCGACTGTTACCGGTGACATCACCTACTGTCAGTAGATGGTGCCAGGCACTCTGCGGAGCACTGCACACACAGGATGGGAAAAATTATCCCTGCCTGATCAGTCCCACACAGGACGAGTGGCTGCTCAGTGAGCCGGAGGTTGCAGAGTGCAGTGGCACACCACTGACCAAGACCTCCCTCCAATTCCCACTGGCAGTGGAGATGAGGGAGGCCTCCGCGGAAGGGAGGCAGGATGCGCAAGACAAGCAGGGAGCAAACAGCAGCTCTTCTAGGTGAGGCCCGGCAGGGGACAGCCCGGGTGAGAGGCGTGCCACACTGGCAAGGACACTGATGTGGGCCAGCAGTAGGACAACCACGGCAACCTTGGGGATGGTTTCAGTGGCGGGCAGGAAAGGGCCTCTGCTGACTCCTGGTCCTGATGGTGCACGGATGCCACACTTGCATGAGCGTCCAGCAAGCCGCGAGTGCTCATACAAAGCACCGCATATACAATTCACTCCACGTGTTTTTTCTCCTTTTGAGACAGGGTCTCGTGCCACCCAGGCTGTCCTCCGACTCGTGCTCCTCCCACCTCCGTCTCCGAAGCAGTACTGTTTCCTAAATACTTTTGGACCGGTTGTCAAGTGAGTAGCTGAAAACAGAAGGGTCAAATCCCAGTGTTTCAAGGCACTGCCTAAAAATCCCATCATTCCTATTCCTGAAGGAGCGGGTGACCAGCAGAGATGCGCTTCATGACCCCAACCCCAGGTTTTGCTGGGTATTTTCTCTGTATGAGGTGCTTCTACTTAGACTTACTTGAGCCTCCGTTCTAGGAACTGTCCAGGTGAGGACACCGAGGCTCTGAAACAGTGTAGCCTACCCAAAACCACACTAAGCGATGCTCAGCATTAACCACAGCAGTGCGAGCACTGCCAGTCATTTCCCTTGTTCACATACAGGCAAGCATGTGCACGCGAGTGTGCATGTATATGCAAGCCTGTGTGTGCCCGCATGTATGTGCGTAACTGCAGGCACGCATTTATATACGTATATGCACACACATGCGTGTGTCTGCGTATATGCACATGTGTGGATGTACGCGCGTGCGTGTCTATACCACAGACAGAGACTCAACCCCACCTACGCGTTTGGGTATCTGGGCAGCAAGGTCTGGTCCCGCAAAGTGACTCCGGGGCCCGTCACGGACAGCTATGTTTCCTCGCCTCTCCGCTTTCTTTCTACCGAACTGGGGCGCTGCTCCAGTCATCTGGGCCGGAGGACAGCGGGGAAAGCCGGACGCGTCCCTTCCCTCCCAGGCATGGACCTTCCTCCCGGCCTCCGCGCCTTGGCCCAGCCCACTCGCATGACGCACACACGCACGCTCGTTCGGGACGCGACAGCCGGCGCCGCCCCTCGGGTCCTCCCTCTCTGCCCCTGCCCTCCACTGCCGCCAGCCCCCGCGCCCGCCATCCCGGTTCTCCTCGGTCCTCCGGGCCCTCCCGGACACCGAGCCCGTGAGCCCCGCCCCCTTCGCCAGAGCCAATCAGCAGAGCCCGGAAGGCGGCACTGCGGGACCGGCCCTCCTCCCTGGGCCCCCATTGGCCAGCTCGGTTGTCGCTCAGAAGGTCACGGCCCGCGCCCGCCATCCCCCTCCCCTCCTCCCTCCCTTCAGGAAAGGCGGCGGCGGGGCGCAGCGGGCGCGGGCCACGATCAGGGCCGAGAGTGCGGTGGGCAGTGAGGGCGCGCGGGCCGAGCTGGCCGAGTGAGCCGCGACGGGCAGGGCGGAGA